CTGAACCCAATGGAAAATGGTTCTCGGTGTTTCCTGACCTTCATTAATATTGCTACTGGCATTAGCAAAGTGCTTCTTTGTATATATTAATGCTTAGTGCCGTACCATGCTCATGAATAGCGCAGAGCTGGCATTAGCGAAGTGCTTCTTTGTATATATTAATGCTTGGTGCCGTACCATGCTCATGAATAGCGCAGATCAGTGACGGCAAAAAGTGGCACCATGACAGAGCATAGACAATATACGTTGAAGGGGATTTACTGTCCCAATATTCTGTTTTTAACATGTGCTGCATGCACTTGGACATGAAAAGTGGCAACTGCATCCACTTGCTTTGACACCCTTTGCACCCGCAGCACGGGAAGGGGCAGTCCCTTCCGTTAGTGCAGGTCCTCCAAGAGCCCGGCTCACTGGACAGAACACGAACATTTCCATCAGGAGCCTCTATTGCTTTCTACTGAGAAAAATCACAAATGCAATAAAGATCTCGGGTGAAAAAAACCCGAAGTAATTTAGGCACCTAAGTCCCATTTTGTAAAGTGTCTTCTTGAAACAGATGCCTCGGGCAGGCTGCTGTCACAGGTGGGACTTCACGGCCATCCCTGGGTGTAGCATTAAGGGACACAAAGAAACTTCAAACGTCTGCTGCAGGCAGGGGATCAGTCGGCACCGACTGTCCAACGTACCCAAGAAACCAGCTCCCTGCTGGACGGCAAGTGCAGGTGCTCTGTGTTAAAATGCCATCTGTATTTTTTTCCTTAAATATTTTTTCCCTAATCGTTAGCGCTACAAATTCTCCCTGGTATCCGAACATCCACTGGCTCTCAGATTTTTTTCTGGTCGTTGGGAAGAGGAAATCCTCGTGGGATGTGTGGCTCAGTGTGTGATCCAAACCAGGCTCACGATCAGCACGGCCGTGACCTCGTGCAGAAACCAGGGGCTGCCCAGAAGAAGGAGCTGATCTGCTGAAATAAAGCTGCAGCATCTTTAAAAAAGCTAGAGACCTGCTCAGGTATTTTTGAGGTTGCTGTTTGCACTTCTGTTTTCTGCTTGTAGTTCAGTGAGGAGCTTTGAGAGTTATGGATACAGAGCTCCGGGAAAGTTACATTAAATTGCACCAAAAATGACTCTGCTGGGCTGGAGCCTTCAGAAGTGGTGGGACCTGATGGAACCTGACAGCCTCTGATTTGAAGAACCCTCAGTCTGCTAAATAAAGTCAAATTGCCTTGAGCCAAACAGTCTTAACCCTAGATGAATCCTGCATCTGTCAGAATAGCCCAGGCTTCACTATATTTCATATAAATTAGGACTCTAATAACACAAATCAGACATTAGAAACCCAGGTTAGAAATAAACACGGGTTCATCTGCTATTGCATCCAGGTCAGAAGTCTGTACCAATGCAATCAGCTCGACTGCATTTGATTTTTGGCTAAAATAATAGGATACCTTCTGTGGGGCCAGCTATTCTGATGAAAAATCGCAGATGTAAAAGCAAACGTTATTAATTTGGTTCATTTCTAAGGCTGATTTTCTTCTCCTTGGAAGTTTAAAGAGCAGCTGCTCACAAACCATAAATCATCCTCCAGTTCAATTTTGTCCAAGTGGCACATACCAGAAATCACATTAAACTTGCTGCAGGCTTCTGGATCTCAACATGAGATTAAGGGGAAAAAAATAAAAAAAGCCCAACAAAACCACTGGAAGGTCAGGTCCAGCCGCAATGGCAGCACTAGTTGGGGAGTGACAAAATTAAAGGCACTTTGAGTAGTGTGAACAAAAGGAGGTTTTTATCACCCTGATCTCATTTATTATCTCTGCTGTCCAGCAGGGACACAAGAGCCAGCCGTGGGGTTATCTTCATTCGCATTGCCACTCCTGCAGCTTTTTATTTCTCAGGTGATGCAGGGAACGCAGTGAAAGCAGGAGCGAGATGCTCCGTTGAGGACCTCAGTGGTTTCTAACCCAGAAGTTTCAAAAAGTTGTCAGGTCGCAGAGTAAGAGGACGACCTGCCAGAGCTGTGTGCGGGGTTTGGTTCCTAGGGGCTCATACCTACGAGCTCCCAGCGGGATAACGCTGCTGCAGGGTTGGGTGGGAGAAGGCAACGTGCGAACAGGTTCCCCACCCAAAAACTCTTCTGGTTGGTGCGCCCACCGTGTGGTTGTGAACTTTGGGGCATTTTCAAGCAGCTGGGAAAAGCGTGCACCGATGTGCAAGAAAGGCGAGAGATTCCCCAACAGGTCGCTGAACTTTTTAGCAGGTTTCAAGCCCCGGCCGTTCACCGTGGCCATGTGCAGGCTGGGTGCTTGTACAGCTTCAGGTTTTGCAGGGAGGCTCTCCTGCTCTGAGGGAAGCGATGCAGGGCTGGGGAGGATTTCATGTGTCGTGTGCTGGTGGCGGTGTACATTGCAAGAGCTTATCAGGAATTTTCCTTCATTAATGACTCACATTCAGCACAAGCTGAACCTCATGATTACTGTCTAATGAGGGGACTGCTGACTGTCCAGTCTCTCCTGTGTGACCGTAGCAGCTCCACAAACCTCTTTGCAGCTTTCTTTGCCAAACAAAACAGGAGGAATCGCTTTGTGTTTGCACGGAGCTGTCAGTGGGAGCAGGATCTGCCCCACTGATGGGGGAGCATTGCCTCTGCTGCCAGAACTCCCAAAGACAAGACAGAACCACATACCGAACTCGATTTGGTATCTACATGATTTACGAGCAGCGTTGTACTTACAGTTGCTCCTCGGGGTCCCAGCAGACCTCTCTCACCAGGAATACCAACCTCGCCCTGGCAATAACACCAAAGTCAGCCGTGCTGTTTAGGAACCCCGAATCCACCCTTCCCCACCCACTGCGGAGCCAGAACATGTTCCTGATCCCAGGCTATTTCCATCCCAAAGCCCCCGCCCCACTGCCCCATCCAGGAGGTCCCACCACCTGCCTTGGTGGGCTTTGACCTCCTCTGCAGCATCATATCTGCACACAGAGGTGCCCACCCACCCAGTCAGCATCGCGCTCGCTAGGTAGCTCCACGCAAGCTGGGGCAGACTGGGGGCACCCATCACCACTGGCTCGCCTGCAGTGCCAGGCAGCACAGCACCCAGCGCATTGCTAAAAGCTTTGCTTGTGCAGGGAAGCAGCACACGAGGTGCGGCTTTGCAGCTGGGTTTAAAACACACTGAGCAGAGCTCATGGTAAGTGTAAATGATGGGGATACGTACTGGGATGCCTGGCTCTCCGGAGGGACCGGCCTCACCCATCTCTCCAGGACTGCCCTGCAGAGGAGAAAGCAAACACTCAGGAAATAACTTCAGAGAGTCCTTTCTGTCCTACCTAGAGCAACAAACGGAGGAGGGAGTTAAAACCTGGACCCTGGTATCCCTGGGTACCCACTGGTGTCCCTGCCCATGGCAGCGGGTTGGAACTCAATGGTCTTTAAGGTCCTTTCCAACCCAAACCATTCTATGAGTCCATCAGGAAATAAAAACAGCTTTAAACTTTTATAGTTTGAAGACCAAGAGGAGAAAACTCTAAAGAATGGACATCCAAAGAACAGATGATCTGCACGTCCTGTCCTGGGACCAGTGATGGGTGCCAGCCCCAGCACAGTGCCACCACATCCCGCTGGGACTGAGTGCCACGGGGATGCTTTTCTGGAGGCATGCTCAGGACACGCCATTTCATTCATTTCTGCATCACCTTCATGCAAGGAGAAGGGTCTTCCTGCAGTGCTATCTCATGAGTGAGGATTAACAAGAGTAACGATGCAGGTGCAGAGGGGGAAATCCAGAAAGCAACGGGAGGGACAGGAGGGGAAAAAAAAAAAAAAAGACACTTTCCAGACCAGCTTTGTGCTGGATTTCTTTGGTCTGTCTGACATTTTCTTTTTTCTCACAGGTAGGTGCCAATCTCAAGCTCCGTGGAAGCTTTTCTCCTGCGGTGGGGGGAGGTCCGCAGAAGGCAAGATGAGCCAGCGCTGCTCCTGCTTGCAGACGCTCAGCCTTTTGACTCCTAAGGATGAAGCCTGCTCTTGGGACTTTGACAAAAGGGTGAATGCTTCCTTCTGAGGTTTACCAAACCACTGAGGACTCTCCTGTGTGTCTGCTGTCTCCACTGAGCCAGGTGCAGGAGCTGTCTCAGCAAGGACCAGCTCAGCCTAATGCCTGCTCCCCGCTGCCCGGGGACCCAGCCCTGGCAGGGACACTGGCACCGTCACTTCGAGGCAAGTCCTCCCAGGGTCTGCCTGTGGGCTCTTATCCCCAAAAGCTGAAAAGCCTCCTTCCGTACCAGAACCCATCATTAGAGAGATTCACTTACTGGTTCACCCTTGGAGCCTTTGATACCTGCTCTTCCAGGCAGTCCCTGGAAAAAAAAAAATAAAAAATTAAAGCCATGTCAGAAAAAGTGGAGTTGCTGAATTTGTTATTCTGGTCTGATTTGACATACAAGGAGCAATGTTTGCTTGAAGCAATGGAGGATTTAAATTTCTGCATCTTTCACCATGAAAACGATGGCTTTGGTTTCCCTCTTGTTCAGTGCACGAGCAGCTCTATGTACACTGACAATTAGAGCAAAGAGGAGGAATACAAAATAGAGCAGCAGTAGCAGCGTTTTCACAGCAGAAACCTCTCTCCAGGGTGTTCAAAATATTCAGAAGACAGGAATACTTTACCTCTATTTAAACAGTTGGAAGACTGGAGAGATGAAACATTTTGCCAAAGCCAGGGACAGAGCTCAGGATATTGTTGAATTATGGTCACGTGTATCCCAGATCTTACCTCCCTGCATGTGGGATACACATCACTGGGATGTGAAAGAGAAAGTCCCTCTCAATTTTTAAACAGAGCCAGAGTGGCCAAAAGCCAGGGTACTCCTCTGTTAGCACTTGGTGCTCCAGATATTCTCCATTCTGCCCCGTATGCTGCTCCAGTTTGTACGGCGGGACAAGTGGCTTAAATGGGACCCCTTGTGGGACCACACAAAATGAACCCCCCTGCTCCCCAGGAATGGGGACCAAGCTGCTGCACCGCCCCGAAGGCGCCGGGTCCTGCTGCCATACTCACAGGCAGGCCGTTCGGTCCCTTCTCTCCGGGAGCACCCATGCGAGCTGCATCACCCTGCAGATAGCAAGAGGTTAGGAGAGACCCTCTGCCATGGGAAAATGGTCTGACACAGGTGGAGGACACATTCCCAAACAGGTATTTGTAATCTTCTCCCTCCCTCCACGTGCAGGAGCCTGGTGTGCCTACAGGAGATGGGCACCCGTGGGAAACGGGGTGCCCGGAGCTCCCAGCCTTCCCTGGCAGCACACAGCCCATGTTCCTGCGGGATCACCCTTCAAAAACCAGGCAACTAGTACCTGACAGCACTTTGTCTACAGGCAATGAAAATAAACAGATGTGTCTGTCAACAGCCCTGAAAAGGCGTCTCTGAAGGGCTGGAGTCAGCCAACAGGAGCCACTGATACAGGGACACAGCTGAGTTCAGAACACATGCCCATGGCCCACACGTGCATCTTCTTTCTTTAGGGAATTGCCTTGGGATTAATTAATAGAAGCAACTTCATTCTTCTTCACTAGTTACGCTATTGGAAAAATTTTTAGAAGCCGAAGCCTTCCAGCCATGCTCTTTCTGGACGAGCATCGGTAGCTTTGTCACACACACGGGACAGTAACAGGAATCTTCCCGCAGTGGGTAAGGAGGACTTTACAAACCTTCTCACCATCGACTCCAGGAGCTCCATCCCGTCCATCCTTGCCAGGCATGCCCTGCAACCATGCACAACGTGGGTTAAGGTTAAGAGGAGGCTCTGTGGTTTGCAAAATACATTCACAAAGAACCTTTTGGGAACGGGTCCAACTCTAGTTGTACTGGGAGACAAGGAGATTTTCCATGAAGAGCAGTACAGTGAGGGCTTAGTGCAACCAGAATGACACTGAAGGTTACACAGACCCACAGAGCAGAAGTTTGATAGCAAAGACTGTAAGATGCAAGATTTCTTCTATTTTTTTTTTTTTAATCCCATCTGCAAGGAAAACAATAGCGAGACTTGCATCTTACTTAATCGACTTACAGGTTCTCCTATGAGTCCACGAGCCCCTGGGTTTCCTTTTGGTCCAGGTCTACCCTAGAAATGAGCAGTCAATCCTGCATTATCCAGGACACAACCCTTAAGAACAATCAGTCAACAAAGATAATACTCAAACTCTGTAGGGACACTTCATTCAGTTTGTGCTGGCTCCCATCCTGTCCACGTAGGCACGGTGGTTCTTTTAGAAAACTGGCCCAATGCTAGTTGCAGCATCTGGGAAAATTCTTGATTGTTTCAAGGGACGGAGATGCATGATCTCATCCCTGTGCTCTGGACTGTAAGAAGCACTTGGGCATCTTACGACTTAGGTACATTTGATAAGACTTAAACATCTCAATTTTGAGAGGAATACCTTCATCCTTTTCACCTCCCTTTCAAATAAACCAAGGGGGACAACCCATAATAAACCTGTCAAACAGACTCCCTTGAATGTCACATTGAGAATTGGAGCAGACGGGTGTTTACTGCACTTACAGTATCGCCTTTGGGCCCCCTGAATCCTTGCGGTCCTTTGCTTCCTTGCTCTCCCTGTGACAGAGGAGGAAAAGCCATTAAGCATCGTCATCACGCGGTGACAGGGACTGATGTTCCGAGGGTGTAACCGGTGCAGGTTTTTTGTGCTGTTTGCTGGCGTTAGCAGAGGCGTGAGCGTACACATTCCCCTGGGATCCCGGCTGTACTTTCTCAGTTACACTCTGTAATTCCTGACACACAAAAAAATTTGCCAACAATCCCTCAGGGCAGAGACCATCTCCCCCTTCCTTTCATGAAGCATTTTCTTTAATGGGAAACAGAGTAGGAGAAAAACTTCAATATTTACTGTCTAGATCCTGCTTGGCGTAATTAATGTTTGGTGGGCAGTAAGCACCTCATTTTATTTTGGTTCAGGTGAATTTGTTCTGTAATTGCAAAGCCCAGGGAGGGGTCCCCGCAGGGCGGTACCGCCGCGGGGTGGATGCAGATCGCGGTAGATGGGGTAGATGGGCGCGGGTGCCTGCTGGAGCGTGGATGGCACGTTACCCACGCTAAGGAGAGATGGAGGGGCAGGCGAGTGGAAAATGCCCTTGGAGAGGCTGTAATGCTGCACGGACAGCTCTGGGCTCAGGTTTGGGCACAGTAAGGAGCGTGCGGGGCTCTGCAGGTGCAGCGCTGTCCTGCACTCCATTCCAGAGCTCTGCAAAAGGACGAGGACTGCATCGTTAACACACAACTCCTTCTGCTTGGGGCAAGAGTCCTTGAGAGCTGTGGGCACTTGGGAACAGAGCGGGTTCAAAGGATGCAAAAGCTCGGGATGGCGCTTACTGATTCTTCCTCAAAACGCTCCTTCCCAAGAAAACACAGACACCCCTCTCAAGGGCTGGCTGCTGATGCTCAGTGAAGAGCAGTGAGGAACAGAGAGCAATGGGAACGTGGTGACCTTATTCTGGCATGGGGCATGACGGAGGGAAAGACATCCTGAGATCTGGGTTGGGTGAGATAACGTTGCTCTGACGGGAGGGACAAAGGCAAAGGGAATAATCTGATGGAGAGGGTCAGCGCACCCACGCTCCTGTTCATGGGCAGCAAAGCGTTCAGTGCAGGAGAAATAAGCTTTAGGCTGCGGTTGGGGAAGGCAGGGGCACAGAGATGCTGAGAAGCAGATACCTACAGCTTTCCCCGGAGGTCCTGGGATTCCGGGCGGCCCTCTGAAACCGATGTCACCCTGCAAGGATAAAGCATCACTGTAACGCTGCGGCTGGCAGAGGGTGAGGTGACAGTATCCCTACCTTATGCCACCTCTGAAAAACCACAAAAGCCCTGGGCAGACACCCCGTTTTTCTTGCTAGTTTGCAATACAGTCTTGCCAAAGATCCCCCTCTGAACAAGCAGGTTTCCCCTCTGGATCTCACCACCGGTATCTCTGATGCACTGATATCATTCATGGACTCGATATCTTGGTATCACACTTGTTCCTAAATAAATGCACGGCTTTATCAAATTCAAAGCCATTCAGCCTCTAGGCTGATGGGCAAGGGACCTTGGCAGAAGTCCAAAGCCACAGTGAGCTTGAGATTGACCCTGTTCTCACCGAGGAGACTTTTCACAGCCTGAAGATCTTTGTCCACCAGTGACCCCATGGCTTTTTTGTTTTTTTTTTTTAATAAAGAGACAGAACTGAAAGTAAAATGTTCATGAAACGTTTCTCGTCTGGATGCTTCAATCAGTCTGGGCCTGATCCTGTTGGTCCCTCGGGCACAGAGACTCCTCCTGCCCAGGGAAGGGTTTTCTGCTGGGGGGGTGCAGGACAGAACCTGCACCTTATTTCCTTACAAGCTCCCCAGGGGTCTTCAGAAAAGAAAATACCACCTGGACCTTGCATGAGAAAAAACAGTGGTGGAGGGGGGAAAATAAATGAAAAAAAAATCAGAAGTTTTTCCTTACCCTGTCACCAGCCGGTCCCATTGGACCAGGGAGGCCTCTTAGTCCTCTTGGGCCCTAATTAAGAAAACAAACCAGTTAAAACCCAATCACTGCTAAACATACAACGGCAGAACAGCATGACAGAGCAACTCATCGACACAGAAAACATCAAGAAACAGTGAAAAGCAGCAGAGAGCTCAGCACAACCAAGACACTTCCCCTTCGGTGACGACCTCTGAGCGAGCGCCCAGGGCTCTCCTGGAGCACCAGCAGCTCAGCGGCTATCGCCTGGAGGTCTCACCCAAGGTGAGGTGACGAAAGCTGGACTTGAATTAGAGCTCAGTGAACCCAACATGATTTCCCCCCCCCCCCAGCCTCGGCTCCCCCCCCCAGCATCGGCTCTCACATCTGTTATTACAGAGGCAAGAGCTGTTGGTGGGAGGCAGGATGAGGGATGGCCCCGTGGAGTTTCCTGGTGAAAAGGTCACGGGAACTGGTCTGAGAGGAGGTGTTACCTGCAGGCCAACGCTGCCGGGGATGCCTGGAGGACCGGGAGGGCCAGGGTTGCCCTGGGAGAGAGAAAATCATTAGATAGAGGGCAAGACAGCACAAGCCTGCCAACCCAAACCGGGGACCTTCCCATCTTCCTTCCTGAACTCCCTCCCACTCAGATTTCTGCTTCAGAATTTGCTCCTATTTTATAAGCATCTTCTTCTACGTGCAAGAACACTGGAGCAGGCAGGAGTTTACCCCGGTGATTAATGCAGGACCTTCCTCCTGACTGACATCCCTGCATGGGAAACTATAGGTGTTAACTTAAACATTGACATTTACCTTTTCTCCTTCTTTTCCTACTTCACCAGGTTCTCCTTTGTGACCAGTGTGTCCCTAGGAACAAGAGCTCCAATTATCCACATGCCAGCACAGCCTTGTTTCAAACCTTCAGGGCTGCGAGACAGCTGCAAGACCTAAACCCACACATCACAAACAACTTATTGGGAAAATTAAGTGTGTGAACGGAGGTCGCTTCTGGGGTTCATCAGCCATGCACCACTCCTGTGCAAGGCATCACTGTGTCAGAATTAATGTCATTTCAGGAAATGACCAGAGTTGGTTTTTCAGAGTGACTGGCGGCGAGACTAGGCTACAGGTCTCCAGATTGAATTCTGAATTACAGGTCAGGGCCCAGAACTCAGTTCCCATCACTTTCAAAAACGAGGCTGAGATGCTTCTGAAAACCCCATTCTGCATTGTTTTTGTTTCGGTCAACTCCAATGTCTGCATCATCAAGCTTGCAAAGGAATCCATGTCCCACTTAAATCTTTCATATAAACTCAGATTCAATTTGCTTTTTGGCTCCGTTCCTGTTACTGTGGGACAGACCCAGGCTAATTTCAGCCCTGGCAGATGTTATTCCTCACCAGGCAAAAGGTCCTGGGCACCATTTACATCATAATTGCAGACCTTTACAGGTTCTTCCATTTCACAGGCTATGAATTTTGAATAGTGACATCCTAAACATTGTGTCTTTCTAATGATATTTATGACTCAGCTCAGGGACCAAACAGACCTGCTAAAGGTCAGCTCACGAAGAGCTCAGAGCATTTCCCAGGAGATGTTCCACCCAGTGCCAATTTCTGCTAAATCCTGCCAAAAAAAAACTCGAGTAACTTATTACTTCAGCTCACTGCTGGAGTGTAACCTGCTGCACAGAACTCATGTGAATCAGAGAGAGGACACAGAAGGAGATGTTTATCTGCTGAGTGAGGCTTCCTGAGGGCTGCAACCTAAAATTTACGTACCAGAATCAAACAACATCAACAGAAAGCTGCCTGGTGCTGCACGGGGTATAAAATGAAATTAAAATGTATTTGATCCTGTACGTTGTGTCTTGCTACAGTGAAATGTGTATCTCTGTGCGTACAGGGTCTGAGCACGACTGAAGAACTGGTGAGGTTTCTGCAGCTCGCTGAAGCCTGAGAAGGCAGCACGTGGCTCTGGAGGCAGCTCTGGACCACGGCTCCCTGCCTGCTCCTCTTCATCAGCTGCGCCTCGCGAGGCTTGCACGGTGTTTAAATCTCTGTGCTCACCCTATGCAAAGCGTTATATTCCATTTGTAGGAATAAATGGCCATAGTTAAATCTTCCATCTAACAAAGGCTGCAATCCTGCAAGGGATGGAGCCACAAAGCAAGTGCAGGCAGGCACCTGAAGGATGCAAAGGCTCTTGCAGAAGGTGCAAGGAAATTCTCACACGCTTTGCTGGGCTTGGGCCCTTTGCAGGACTGAGACGGGTGGCAGCTATTGCTACGAGTGGGGGAACAGCCTGCAGAGAGGGCAGGATCAGGCCCTTCATCCTCCTCTTGTCTCGTATTTGGCTGCTTTGGGGCTTTTCTGTTTTCGAACCCAGGCAAATGTATGGAGAGGTGCGAAGCCTTCAGGAGACGTGTACTGTATATACAAGAGTTTGATCCCAGGGGTTCCTAGTGGTGTTTATTTTGGGAGACAGGGGGTATTTCTCTTACCTTGAACAAGGGGGACCTGGGGGACCCGGTGGGCACAGAGCTGGGCACTGCAGGGAACAGAAACACCCGTTGGTTTATCAGGTACACACCGCGTGCCCAGGGAAGCTGGTTCCATTACTGGGGGGAGGAGAAAGGGTCGTGGGGGTTTGGGCTCTGAATCTAAATCGAATGCATTCATAGCACCACGTATCGACCAGCATTCCCCTACAGCAAGGGGTCCCAAACAGGTCCCCAGCCCCCGGTAACCCAGAAAATAATGATTTCTGAAGGGTCTGCTTTGCTTTGAGCATGAACTGTGAGAAATTCTGCACGTTGACAGCTATCCACAGCCCAAATTGCTGAAGAACCACAGTTCCCCAGGGAAGCTGGATGGGTATCTCGTAAATCATTAGGAACAGATTTAATCTGATGCTTTAATTGACCCCTATCGATTTCCTTTAGACAACTCACCTAACTGAAGCAAGGACAAGCATTAGAGTGTATTGGAAGGGGACCTATAAAAAAGTAACCCCCACACCTAGAAGCTGGTATCTGCAGATGTCTAGGGGCAAACTCTAGTTTGACTGTGAACAAATCAGAACATGCATGGAAATTTAACGGGGGCTCAAACAGCCACACTCTAAAAACTATAAATAGGGAATGAGATTTTCTTCTGCAGCTTTTCTTTCATTTGTTTGTTGTTGTTATTTTTTTTTTTTTATAAAACCTCAGGCAACACCTCTGTAGCAGAAATTTAATTTTCTAGTATATTCCACAGGGTAACTGAAATTAAACTTGCAGAAATAATATCGTTTTCTATTAACTTCCACGTGACTTGCCATAAGGCGATCTAAACTGACTCTGAGCTTTTTTTGGGGCACGCCAATTAGAAAACCAAAGATGCTGTCACAACAACAGCTGCGAAATCTGGAAATGTCAATTCCATCGTTCATGGACTCAACACTCCTTTCATTCCCCTGAAAGAAAGGAATCAAGACTTTCTCCTAAGGAAGGAAGTGTAAACAGAGCACATGCCCATAGGAACCCGGTGCCACCATCCTTGGAAATAATCAGCGCCACCCGCGTGACCTTTTCTCTTGCAAAGCAGGATTGGAAACAGATGCATGAAAAGCTGTTGTCATTTACCAAATGCTGAAGTTGTTTTGTAAATGAAGAATATGTACAAATATAATATGTATATATTATCCTGCGATAAGGCAGTTTAGAGCCATGTCTGCAGGTCTGAACGGTGCACGTTACATGGTCTGACAACCACCCAAGTATGCCAATGAAAAGTCACATCAGGGATTAAATTAAAAAATAAAAATCATGCTACATAAAGGAAAACGTACCTGAAGGTCCCCACCGCCATCAGGAAGGGTGCCTGGAAGCCCCTGCAATTCATGAAACGTAGTCTTTGAAATACATCAAGACAAACACCAGGAGGAAATACCATTTCTAGAAACTGCACCTTACAGACCCAGCTCAGCTGGATCAGCACGAGGTGGACACACAGCCCCACAGCGAAAAATGAACCCACAGCGTTATGAGCAGCACCAGTCCTCAAAACAGCCATGGCAGGTGTGGAGCTATCTTCTGGAGATGCACAGGTCAGGTTGGGGAAGAGCCTTGAGCCTTAAAGGCAGCAGTTTGAGGAGGGCCAGGCACGGCTGCTCTTCTTCAGGCCAGGGAAGCTCCTTGGGAAAGACCTCCCTGTCCCTCCAGCCCTCCAGAGCAGCAAACCCAAACCAGAGACTTGCTGGTTTCAAGCCCCCCTTGCTGGTCCTACAAGAACACATCGGGATCCAAGCAACCATATAAAGCTTGAGAGTGCAGAAAGCCCACCCTGTGACCTGTCTGTGCTGTAAAATCTGGATGTCATTGGGTTCCTCCACCTGCACAGCATGGACAATGAACCCACCAAAGGGCAGCCAGTGAAAAGGCACTGCTCTCCTTGGGGCACGGTGGTTACCCCTGCTCAAACTTAGCCCGGAAAGGAAGCACTCAAGGCAATGGCAGCAAATAAACCGTGCACGTTCTGGCAGCAAGAAGAAAACTCTAGATGCCCCGTAGGAATTTTCTCACATTTATTTGCAAGTCTCAACTTACGGGAGGTCCAGGTGGTCCAGGAGGCCCTGGGAATCCTGGCAGACCAAAAGGTCCCTAAAAAGAGTGAAAAATAGTAAGAATTCCCCTTCTTAACCATTTAAATGACAATGTGAAAGGAGAGGAAGGGTGGCTACCAAATACCATTGCATATTTGTGAATGTGGGGCAAGATCTCCCTCATGGGACTAAACGGCACCTTTCTTTCTGCAGAGGCTTCTAGCCTGCAAAGAGCAGATGCATGTGCAAACACAGGGATTAGGACAGAAGAACATATCCCTGCACCTACATCCCTGCTTCCACTGGCTCTGTACCTCTCCAGCAGAGCTATGGGCACCCAAAAATGGTGCTATGCTTCTGCCGAACGGGCTCCCTCAGATCAGACCCATTCTGTGCAGCAGCTTCTTTGGAGGATGCTGAAAGTCCTTGCCAGCTGCTCACTAATCTTGTGACATTTGGCTGCTCTTTTGTCCTTACTCGGAGTTGGTAAAGGAAGATAGGGCTGCAAGCAGTTGCACATCTTTGGCATTGCACTGGTTGGCTGGGGTGACCCTACATGAGCTGACACAAGGAATAGCATCGCCCAGGGGCATTTGCAGAGCTTGTGTAGCGTCTTGTGCATCACGCTTCCAGAATGGGGTAAGAGACCAGAAAGGAACCTCATTCTTCTGCAGTTGTGGCGTGATCAGTAAGTGAGGATCAAATGGTAGGAGAAACTCACAGGAGGACCCCGGAATCCATTTCCACCTGGGAGCCCACTGGGTCCTGGAGGCCCCTGTTGAAGAGAGAGGAGAGCTTTACACCCATGGCCAGCTCGCATGGCTGCCAAAGCCCAGGGGCAAACAGTCTGGCTTCACCCATTTGTCTCACCCCTCCAAGGAGACCAGTCCTGCACCCAGACAATCAGTTTATCAATCCACATCTTTCCTTTTCCTCCACCTTCCCATGGAGCACCATCTTGTCATCATCGCAACGTCTGCCCCCGCTGACACAGAGCAGCTCTGAGACAGCCCAGAAACCCCCCAGACAAAAGCTGCCCCAGAACTGGTCACTCACAGCAATCACAAGGCTGCTGTGCCTTGGATTTACATCAGCGCCAGCTTCCCTGGGGTTAAAGGACTCCACATCCCTCTGCCCAGCACAGGAGAGGCACCCAAGGCCTGGGGTGGGTTTGTAACACTCAGGGTATCCAGTAAAGCTAGCATAATAATTTCAATTTATTTTTTTGAAAAAGAGTCTCATTACTTACTGGAGGTCCTGGTAGTCCTTTGCCCTGGAAA